GCCCTCTTCTTTCTCATGAAGTTGGAGCGGCCTGTTTGCTTTGTTGAGATGGCGCTTTCTTCTGTCCCATTAGATTGGAGGAAGCCCTCAGTCTCTTCTTGTCGAGGATGAGGCAGAGGATTTGTCTTTTTGGAAGCTAATTCAGAGCATGGGGTAGAGGGCTGCTCATGTCTTGTTGAAGTCTGATCCTCCCCTTCTTTTGAAGATTGAGCGAGCTCTGTCTTCACTTCTTGAAAGCTATCCCTCTTCTATCCCTTGAAGAGGAAGAGGGGACGACAAGGAGCTCCTCTCTCATCTTGTCGACTATAAGAGGCAGCCGCAGTTCTTTTTGAAACTGGAGATGCGTTGAGCCTTGTCTTCTTCGACTAGAAGGGAGCTCCCTTCATTTATCGTCAGAGGAGATGGAGAGTTACCAAGAGGTAGAGGAGCTCGCTGCTAGAAATCAGCTGAATGACTTGGAGGGACTTTCTCCGTGTTTTCGTTGAGGGGTGGGGGAATCTCCGCCTTTTCTTCTTGAGCGTATGCCCTTTTCCATCTTTTGAAAAGGTAAGGGAAACAATCAGGATCTCTTTCCACTGCCAAGAGAGAAAGGAGGTTTCTTCTTCTTGTGCGTATGCTGTCTTCCATCTTTTGAAAAGGCAAAAGAAATGCTCAAGATCCAATCCCCTTATGAAGAGAGAAAGGAGTTATCTTCTTTCCGACCGATGGGTAAACGGAGACCTTTGAATTCTCGTGAAGTTGGAGGGGCCTGTCTGCTGGACTGAGATGGAGCTCTCTTACGCCTCATTGCATAGGAGGAAGCTCTCAGTGATTTCTTGTGGAGGATGAGGTAGAAAATCTTTCTTTTTGGAAGCTAGGGGAGCTCTGTCCTTTCTTGCTAGGAGCGATGTCTCTTCAATCTTCTTAATTAAGACGACAAGGCGACATACCAAGAGGTAAAAAGGGATGCTCTCTTCTGTTGCCACGAATATCCTGGGGACTCTCTTCTTATTTTGGAGCATGAGGTCTTTTCCTTTTGAAGGCTGAGGGATGACCAGATGTCTCTACTTGAAAATTGGGGGGAGCTCCACCCTTTCTTCTTGAGCATCCCCCCCCTTATCAAGAAAGAAAGGTTAGAAGGGTTTCTTTCTTGATTCAGAGGGTGGGGTAGAGGGCTGCTCATGTCTTGTTGAAGGCTGCAGGGAGGATCGGACTCTTCTTTTGTCGATTGAGAGAGCTCTGTCCTCACTTCTTGAGAGTTATCTCCCTTCTATCCCTTGAGGAGGAAGAGGGGACGACAAGGAGCTCCTCTTTCTTCTTGTCGACTAAGAGGCAGCCGCAGTTCTTTTTGAAATTGGAGATGCTTTGAGCCTTGTCTTCTTCGACTAGAAGCGAGCTCCCTTCAATTCTCTTCAGGGGACATGGAGACCTACCAAGAGGTAGAGGAGCTCGCTGCTAGAAATCAGCTGAATGACTTCGAGGGGCTGTCTCCGTGTTTTCGTTGAGGGGTGGGGGAATCCCTACCGTTTCTTCTTGAGCGTAAAGATAATAATCAGGATCTCTTTCCACTTCCAAGAGAGAAAGGAGTTTTTTCTTCTTGTGCGTATGCTGTTTTCCATCTTTTGAAAAGGTAAAAGAAATGCTCAAGATCCAATCCCCTTATGAAGAGAGAAAGGAGTTATCTTCGGTCCGACCGATGGGTAAACGGAGACCTTTGAATTCTCGTGAAGTTGGAGGGGCCTGTCTGCTGGGCTGAGATGCAGCTCTCTTGCGTCTCATTACATGGGAGGAAGCTCTCAGTGATTTCTTGTGGAGGATGAGGTAGAAAATCTTTCTTTTTGGAAGCTAGGGCAGCTCTGTCCTTTCTTGCGAGGAGCGAGGTCTCTTCTATCTTCTTAAGACGAAAAGGCGACATGCCAAGAGGTAAAAAGGCTCTCTGCTAGAAGGATGCTCTCTTCTGTTGCCACGAATATCCAGGGGACTCTCTTCTTATTTTGGAGCATGAGGTCGTTTCCTTTTGAAGGCTGAGGGGCGACCAGATGTCTCTAATTTGAAAATTGGGGGGAGCTCCACCCTTTCTTCTTGAGTGTATGCTCTCTTCCATTGTTAAAACGGCAACGGAAATAATCAGGATCCCCTCCCCTTATCAGGAAAGAAAGGAGGTCTCTTCTTGCCGAGGGCTAAACGGAGCCCTCTTCTTTCTCATGAAGTTGGAGCGGCCTGTTTGCTTTGTTGAGATGGCGCTTTCTTCTGTCCCATTAGATTGGAGGAAGCCCTCAGTCTCTTCTTGTCGAGGATGAGGCAGAGGATTTGTCTTTTTGGAAGCTAATTCAGAGCATGGGGTAGAGGGCTGCTCATGTCTTGTTGAAGTCTGATCCTCCCCTTCTTTTGAAGATTGAGCGAGCTCTGTCTTCACTTCTTGAAAGCTATCCCTCTTCTATCCCTTGAAGAGGAAGAGGGGACGACAAGGAGCTCCTCTCTCATCTTGTCGACTATAAGAGGCAGCCGCAGTTCTTTTTGAAACTGGAGATGCGTTGAGCCTTGTCTTCTTCGACTAGAAGGGAGCTCCCTTCATTTATCGTCAGAGGAGATGGAGAGTTACCAAGAGGTAGAGGAGCTCGCTGCTAGAAATCAGCTGAATGACTTGGAGGGACTTTCTCCGTGTTTTCGTTGAGGGGTGGGGGAATCTCCGCCTTTTCTTCTTGAGCGTATGCCCTTTTCCATCTTTTGAAAAGGTAAGGGAAACAATCAGGATCTCTTTCCACTGCCAAGAGAGAAAGGAGGTTTCTTCTTCTTGTGCGTATGCTGTCTTCCATCTTTTGAAAAGGCAAAAGAAATGCTCAAGATCCAATCCCCTTATGAAGAGAGAAAGGAGTTATCTTCTTTCCGACCGATGGGTAAACGGAGACCTTTGAATTCTCGTGAAGTTGGAGGGGCCTGTCTGCTGGACTGAGCTGGAGCTCTCTTACGCCTCATTGCATAGGAGGAAGCTCTCAGTGATTTCTTGTGGAGGATGAGGTAGAAAATCTTTCTTTTTGGAAGCTAGGGGAGCTCTGTCCTTTCTTGCTAGGAGCGATGTCTCTTCAATCTTCTTAATTAAGACGACAAGGCGACATACCAAGAGGTAAAAAGGGATGCTCTCTTCTGTTGCCACGAATATCCTGGGGACTCTCTTCTTATTTTGGAGCATGAGGTCTTTTCCTTTTGAAGGCTGAGGGATGACCAGATGTCTCTACTTGAAAATTGGGGGGAGCTCCACCCTTTCTTCTTGAGCATCCCCCCCCTTATCAAGAAAGAAAGGAGGTCTCTTCTTGCAGAAGGGTAAACGGAGCCCTCTTCTTTCTCGTCAAGTTGGAGCGGCCTGCTTGATTTGTTGAGATGGCGCTTTCCTCTGCCCCCTTAGATTGCTCTCAGTCTCTTCTTGTCGAGGATGAGGCAGAGGATTTGTCTTTTCGGGAGCTAATTCAGAGGACGGGGTAGAGGGCTGCTCATGTCTTGTTGAAGGCTAAGGGGAGGACCAGACTCTTCTTTTGAAGATTGAGACAGTTCAGTCCTCACTTCTTGAAAGCTATCTCTCTTCTATCCCTTGAGGAGAAAGAGGGGACGACAAGGAGATCCTTTCTCTTGTTGTCGACTAGGAGGCAGCCGGAGTTCCTTTTTTCTCGTGAAGTTGGAAGGGTTCTCTGCTCCTTGGAGATGCTGCGGTAGGGGATGTGCCAAGGGATCTCTTCCTTACCCTTTTGGAGAAAAGAAGCTCATTTCTTGCGGATGACGAAGCAGCGAGCTCTCTTCATTTATCGTCAGAGGAGATGGAGAGTTACCAAGAGGTAGAGGAGCTCGCTGCTAGAGATCAGCTGAATGACTTGGAGGGACTTTCTCCGTGTTTTCGTTGAGGGGTGGGGGAATCTCCGCCCTTTCTTCTTGAGCGTATGCCCTTGTCCATCTTTTGAAAAGGTAAAGGAAATAATCAAGATCTCTTTCCGTTGCCAAGAGAGAACGGAGGTTTCTTCTTCTGGTGCGTATGCTGTTCTCCATCTTTTCGGGATCCAATCCCCTGATCAAGAGAGAGAGGAGTTCTTTTCTTTCCGACCGATGGGTAAACGCAGATTTTTGAATTCTCGTGAAGTTGGAGGGGCCTGTTTGGTTGCTGCTTGCCGCTTTCTTTGTGTTAGCTTGCTGTCCGACTCAGGTCTTGTGACACAAACCTGACATTAACAGAATGTTGTTCCAATACGTGCCCTAGCTCGCTGGGACCAGCTCGCCGGCCTTCGTGTGAGGATATATGACCACAGCAAAGCCCGAATGCCAGCTTCCAAATAGACCCTGTTTAAGCCAGCCACGGGGGGGGGGGCTGAGGTCCACTACTGAATTGCGGTTGAAGCTCGTCGCCCCGGCTTGTAAAGTCGGGACACATGCAACCAGAGACAGCCAAGTACACCGCGAAGGCTCGCCCGGGGTCTCGGGGGGTGCGCCTATTCTCAGTACCCAAGGACATATAAAAGATAAACTTCCAAAAAACTCAGTTGCAAACATCAAGTGAATTGAAAATTGCTGCTGGAGCGATTCGCCTGAAGCCTTGAATCATCAAACCCTGACCGGGATTACAGGGTGAGTTTAGGCCTGAACACTTGGAGTGAGAACCCTCTTTCCTGCACCCGCGAGGCTCTACGACTTGCTTTCTCTCCCGAACCACTTGTATTGCAAGGGCGCGCTCATTCCCTTTCTTCATTTTTTGTAAGGAGGCAGCAGAATAAGCAGCAGCCATACAGGTACTAGCCCAAAATTATGAGGCCGCAATCATTCGACCTTCATTCGACTGCGGCTTTGGGGTTATCGTAGGGCCTCGTATCTTTCCAGGAGCCTAACCATCCAGACCTCTATGTTGATAACTGATGCAAATCCCTGATTAATGCACTCCTGATCCGGACTTTGAAAGGGACCCCAATTTACAGGCCGCTAAAGACGGGAGGTTATTCATTATGGGTCCACATTACCAGTCGCCCTTCCTTTCACCAAGGCGCGTTAGGTTCGCAGTGGCTCGAAAGCCTTCAGTACATGCTGCTGTGCAACGCCTGAGAACACAGGGCTGTCTAGCTTTGTTCTGAAGACATTTGCAACAGAGGTTGTCGGCATGGGCTTGGAAGTTTATTTTGCTTATGTTGCGGGTGTTTCGGGTTTAGGGTTCGAAGTGTGCGGTTTATCCGTAATGGATTTTTCAAAATTTGGAAGCCGAGCCCTACATTAGCCGGAAGCTCATGATACAACATAAGGGCGTGTCCAATGAGGCAGGGCTTTTGGGCGGGTGTATTATGAAACTCTTGAAAGAGCTCCGAGGGGAAGAGCACTACTACCTAATCATGCCACTTGCAAGTAGGAGCTCGAAAACCTACATAAACCCGGGGCCTACACTGCATGCAGCCTAGCTATCTCAAACCAGGACAAGGGATAACAGAAAGTGCCCAAGGGAAACTGCTATATTACGGCCTGATGGTGGGCATTATAGTGGGGTCTTGGGCCATATAATTTGAGCTGGGTTTAGCTGGCCCTGCTGCTTTGAGACCCGTGACCCCTACACGCACCTGAAAGCTTGATTGTCCAATCTCATGGCCAAAATCCACACTACCCGCTACTGAGGTGCATGGGCTTGAGATCGTCGTCATGTGGGTTAGTCTAGTTGTTCGTGAAAATATGGGATTGTTGGATACTTGGACCCATTGCAGTTTAGCTTTCCACCGAATGGGAGTTGTAAGCACAGTAAGACGTTTGAAGGTTACAGCTTGCAAGGTCTTAGAACCCCAAGACTATGCTTTACATTTCTTTGGCACTCTATGAAAAAAACAAACCCTCCTCAGAATAACAAGCTTCTTCTAATGAGGATTTGCCGTAGGCTTCAACGGGTCCAAAGGCGTATCCCGGGCTTAAGCGAAGGTCAGTGGATGTTGGGGTGCTGCTCACGAATTCAATTTATGTGGGGACTGTAAGACAAATTCTCTCTTTGGTACCTTAATAAACCCTAAGCCGCTAAGCCCTTAGTGGAGCATTGTGTTTAAGGTTGCTGGGTGATGGGGCCCAAATCCACAAACGTTTGCGCTGGAAGCCTTAAAGCCGTAGACCCACCTCCGTAAACGAATCTCTGATGCTCTGCGCAAATCACCGCAACAACGCAAATATCTCAATATTATAGTTATTTGCAACCCCTTCAGATATGCGAGCTTCAGCCAAGAAGCAACGCAAATTTCCTGGTTATTGAATCCTGAAAAGATCCAAAACAAGCTCAGATGCTTCTTATGTAACAAGTCGTTTGACTACTAAGGTTGTCCGTCCCTCAGATTCAAAAAGGGGTCCCCGGAACAACTATGCATCAGAGGGAGGTCTCGTTTAGAGACTCACTACCAGAGCGCCTGCCGCCCGGAATCAAATCGTCCGTATAGTTCTCCTGCGCGGCATTCAACCACATATAAGCCCTTTGTTTAGAAGAACCGGGCTTTGTAGGGCTTGTTTGTGCGTATGTATGTATGCATGTAAGGCATATGCTATGCACATATGCATGCATGCAGGTGCATACGCATGTCTGTATGTACATATCACAATACCAATCACTGTCCTTAATTATCGGGGCAGGGGGGAGTTTACGATTGTCTTAAAGGCCGAAGCTCCACACGCTACAACCGAAGATCAGGGCCATGATAATTCAACAAGTATCTGCAAAGCCGCCATGGATCAACTGCCGCTCGTACTCTGCAACAAGCTCTGGTGTCGGAGCTCCGTGCTGCGCCATAGCATGCAGCAGGATTCCCTTCACATGCCGGTTTCAGTTCGGAAGGCTTGACAACACGCGTGACCGTCGGCATCCCGGCATCTTCAGCCCCCATCTCCTCAAGAGGCTTGACTTGGTCACGGGGACCTTCGGCAGCTGGACGATCAACAGCTCACAGTTGCAATGCATGCCGGCATAATGCAGCAATGCCTGTCCCACTCCTGGCATGCAAACCTGCAACCGAAGGGCCAGATGCAGGGATCGTCTGCAGGATAGCGATTTAGGGCTGACGGTTTAGTGACGTGATGTTATAAGAACCCGCAATGAAGGCACTCCGCATAAGAGCTCAAGTGAAAGCCTAAAGCCGTGAAGCCCCAACTTCCTAAAATCCTACTTCCGAAGCCCGCCTATCAAACCCTGATTCCTAGATAGTAATCGACCCAAATTCCTCAACCGTGAGTAGGTATGCATGTATGTCTCTATTTACTGGATCCAGAAACATACCCTTGTGTCGGCATTAACCTACAAAAACTCCCAAACCACTCATGTCTATCAATCAAAGCGCTAACGAGCACACAAGAAGAGCATCCTGCTAATATAGCTGCTAACAGTAAACCCTACAAACCTGGAGCAATGCCACGGGGCCCTTCGTGACCTACATGAGGTATTTCCTACTTCTGGTTCCATTCAGAAGACCATTATCGTACCATATCCACTCTTATATCTAGGCTGCCAAGACAAGACCTAAATCTAGAGCAACCGGTAACTTCAAAAAGCATAGAAACCTCAAGCAAAAGCTGCCAACCGAATTCTTAGCCTTAGGGTTTGGGGTTGGTATCAGGAAGTGCAACAAGTCTAAAGCCTCGGTCCGCGTCCTGTATAAACCAACCTTACAAAAGCACTATGAGACCGTATCCCGTCTTCCAGTTTTACAAGCAAGAAAACCATTCAGTTGTTCAGGAGGTTTAGGGTGTAGGACTTCGGGCCATTTCGACGACTTCAGGGGCACTAAAATCCCAAACCCCGAGGCAGCGTGGCGACCTTAATAATCAGGATAGGGCTTTGGGGGTATACTCTTGTAGAGTGGAGTGGGACGAACCAAGCGAATCCTGCACTCTCAATACACTCTAAACCTTCAACCCTAAGAGCTGTTGTCCAACCCCCCCTTGCCATTTCGACACTACACTGCACGCACACACACACACACACAACACACACACACGCACGCGAAACTCCACGGCAAAACAACGACACACACACACACACACACAGACACACAAGCAAACGCAAAAGACTGCACCCCAATGCCCGGTCTTCCTTACAGCTGCCGTTTTCGGAAGCTTGTGGGATGTCGACAGGGACTGGGCACTCCTGCGATCCGTAATGAGGTTCCGGGATTCTACAACGGCTGTACAAGATTGTTAAGTTATAAGTTAAAAGGGTTCTGAAAGGGCTCTCAGCACTGAACCCCGGTTTTGCGAAAGGGCTTTGGGGTCGAAACGAAAACATCGATTGCTTCTCTGGGGAGTTATATGCTACACTGAGACCAGTGCCATGGCGCTTTTCGAGTCTAGGAGTCTAGGAGACATTTGTTGAGTCGTGGTCGCCAGGGGCTAGGTAAAGAACTCGCACTCTGTGGGCCTAAGGTTTAGGGGTTTAGGATTCAGGGTCGGGGTTTAGTGTAGGTAGTAGTAAATAGTGGTGGTGGTGATGGTGGTGGTGGTGGTGGTGGTGGTGGAGGTGGTGGTGGTGGTGGTGGTGGTGGTGGTGGTTGTCGTGGTCGTGGTGGTGGTGGTGGTGGTGCTGGTGGAAGTAGTAGTAGTAGTAGTAGTAGTAGTAGTAGTAGTAGTAGTAGTAGTAGTAGTAGTAGTAGTAGTAGCAGTAGCAGTAGCAGTAGCAGTAGTAGTAGTAATAACAATACTAGTTTTAGTAGTCGTAGTAGTAGTAGCGGTAGTAGCAGCAGTAGTAGGTTACATGCGTTCATTGAGTGCGCGGGCCCTTAAGAAACCCTAACCTCGAAACCCGACAACTCTTCAAGCCTACTATAGGGATACATAAAATAGACCATAAAAATTAGACCAGGGTCTTGGTGCCCATTATACCATAACTATAATAAGAGGGAGCGTAACTAAATAAGGTCCCTATATGAATTGCAAAAGCCCTCGGGTGCAAGTCAGAAGCTAGATCCTGAGCCTGCTGCTTCCCAATGGGAAAAGCAAGCTTAGGGTCTAGGAGGTTAGGGTTGAGGGTTTAAGACCCATTTAATAACCCGCACTATCCCAAATCGAACCCTTGTGAATAAATCTGAACTCGATACTTAGACGCTTAGTTGGTCTCCGGCTTCACGCACGCGAAGTTTGGTGGCTGGAGCGAACCACCAACGCACGCGAGGACCTTTGGCATGGTACGACAGGTGAGGGGTATCGGCTGAGGGTTTTCCATTGTACAAGTTAGGGCCAGTTAGGGCTTCCTAGGCTATGAAGATACAGCTCGAGGTCTTGAACAGAGGCCTTCCCTTAAACTTGACAGTATACGTACGGTATTAGATTACTGTGTGGGGCGTTGCCAGCTTTAGACTTTTAATTTGTCGCGAATTTGTGGGTCATAGCAATTAAGTTGGGTCAGGGGTACATATGGTACGAATAGAGTCATGTGGGGACTTGAATATCTGTAACAACTACTTCTGACCACTCAGTCAACTATGCTACTGTACCTGGGGTCTTGCACTGCTTGGATGCTTCACGGGAGCCCTGAAAACTGGGAGTTCGGGCGGTGAGGTTTAGAGGTTTAGGTTTTGGGTTTAAGGGGTTCAGCATAACATAACGATCCTAATACTAAGACACCTCAAAACTGCGGGTTGCCCCAGTCCAAAAATGCAGGGAACTCGAGCCCAAAATTGGCAAGAACCTGACACGAGCACGCAGCCCTCAAATAGTCGGCCAGTATGTTCACTCAGTTTTGATCGAAAATCGCACTGACTTCATCTCCTCAATAATCAGTCCTATCGCTACTAACATAGCTTATTCCCGAATTTTTAGCTCTGCACACCCCAACCCCCAAACCCAGAAACCGCCGAAGCCCTGCGAGTCAACAAACAGAACATCACGCCCGAACTCGCAAGACAGACCATGGCCCCCAACCCAGTAACACTACAGCGGACAGAGCGATCAGGGTTTCGGACTAGGGCTAATCGTACGATTTTAACTGTTGACTATTGCTCTCGTCGATGCTACAGACGAGCCGAAAAAATGAAGGGGGCTGTTCTCGCATAGTGGACGCCTCTTGATTACGATAAGCCCGTAGGACTTGGACCCAACAGTGTGCGGTTTCATATACAACCACGTGAAAACCAGGAATGCCCCCAAACCCTAAAGTTCTCAAGGAGAAAGCAGTGCACAGTTCTGAGAGAGCCACTTAGGATAGAGCCATGACTTAGAGCACGCACCCCAAAGCACTGAGAAATCGATGGGCCTGGATGATTGGAACAGGTTTTGGCGGAATAGTGTGACGTATTTATGTGGAGAATACACAGGTTGATTCAGACCGCTCTGTCTGGAGCATGAAGCAATAGTGACTAGATCTCCAACTTGACAGGCCGCACTTCCTGCACCCATCCAAGCCCCCGACGGCTTCCGTTGGAACGTGCCCGCTTCTGCACCTGCAAAGAATGGAGGATGTCAGGCTTACAGGGTGCATGTATTGTTCTGAGATGATGCAGACTGCGTCCCACGACCACACCCTGACAATAACTTAAGCGGTATCGTTATTTCAGAACACTCAGGGTTTGAGCTCCCGGCTTGGGGCTTAGAGTTTCGGCATGTCTGAGGCCTCGGATGAACCAGCCCCATTGAGAGATTGAGGGTTCAGAGGTGCAGGGTTCGTAGGGTCTTAGAGGTTTCGAGGACAGCTTTAAGGGTTTGGAGGCTTAGCGCTTAAAAGCTTGTGGAAATGTGTCGTAAGGATCTCCCTACAGCCAAAAGACAAACGGTGGGTTCTAGAGTGCGGGCAAGACATGTCGCAACTAGAGCTTCACATGGACACTGAATCCTAAATTCTGATTGAAGCCCCAACTCGAGAGTCAGAACGAACTCCAACGCTGCACTCAAATCTAACCCTAAAACCCTCGAACCCTAAAACCGAAAAGCAGGAAATCCTTAAACGCTGAAACCCTCAAAAAAAAACATCACCTACAATCTGAATCCCCAAAGCCCAAAAACCCGTTATCCCATGATCCCTACACCCGAAACCGCAATCCCCAAAGCTCTGAGCCCTAAAAGACCTCACATGTCGATGTGAAACGAAACTCTAACCCGCGCTGCCGTGCCTGGGAGCGCATGCCGCCCCAGGAGGCAGCGTCTGGCGCATGACGGCTTAGGGTTTACTAGTTTAGGGTTTGAGGTTTAGGCACATTAAATAAGAGGGATCCGATTGTAACTTAAGGTATATTCTTTAATTGAGGGGCTTTGGAGCCTCTGGAAAAAAGGTTCGTGCAGACGAAGATAGATAAGACATACCGGTTGACAGATAGACACGCAGACAGATGGACACACAAAAAACGAACAGATAGATAGATAGATCTGTAGGTGATAAAAATGTTAGGTCCATAAACTAGACGCTCTCAGTTCCCTCAAGCCCTAGAATCGCCAAACCAAACCTGAAACAGCAGTTAACAACCTTGTAAGCCCGTCTGGAAAAAGGCGTCCTTCCTTTCCTTTGGATGAGATGCCTTAGCCGCTTAGGGCAGTAAACACCTAAACCTGCTCCTACACTTTACCCCCGGGAACATGGGGAAGAAAGCCCTTCAAGCTCGGACGGGATCTCGACCCACCGGGGCCTCTTCGAAGCCTTGGCATGGAGGGTTGTTCGCCTCTGAAATGCCTGGTGAGAGCTCTTACGTCTTGGGTTTTAGGGTTTGGTTGAATTTTGCCGTAGATTCTTGTTCGGTTATCGCCTTTCTTGTTCTTCTAATTTGCCAAAGGAGTTTTGCTTGCTTCCTTGGTTTGAGGGCTTTTGCTTGTTGTTAAAAGGGATTGTTTTGGGGGTTCAGGTGCAAGGTTGCGTTCAGCCCTTTCTCGGCTAGAGGGGTTGCGGGGTTACGGGTTTAGGGTTGTATGGTTGTGGGTTTCGGGCATTGGGTGGTTGAGTTGTAAGGTGCTGGGCATCATTACTCTGGGGATGACGATGAACACTTTCTCCTCCTGGTCTATTGCCATTGACCTGCTGACTATGCACCATTTCGCAGCAACGGAGCTGTGATCGTCTACGTGTTCGCCATTACTGTGATGATGAATGTCGTGTTGATGATAGTTACCACCGCCGCCAATCGCCGCCACCACCACCCGTCCTCACTACACCCTCAGACCCGAAAGGTGCGTAAGAAAGCGATACTTGAAGGTTTCTGTCAGACTTAGGCGTCCTTTTCCAGGGCTTCTCATGATTCCGGATCTTAGATCTTCTGAAACTCCCATAGCACGCCAACTTCGCTCAAAGCTTCAAACCGATGTCAACCAAGGGTTCATAGGGCTTAAACTCGCGAGCTCATCGCTGCCCGCGCCTTCACAGTACCCATGGACCTGTAAAAGTTTTCGGCCCGCTACACACTGCTCGTTGGGCAGTTGGACCCTGATCGAAGCCGTACAGAGCGATAGATCCCCCCTATCTGGCCGTTTACGAAAAAGAACCGGACCTAGGGTGTGAGAGTTTAGGGTTTAGGGATATTTTTGAACCGAGTTTGAATGTGTCTAAGCAGGCATACTGAAACAAGGGATCTGGCCGTGGGCAAGAAGCCAGACTATGCGTAAGTAAACCTCAGATCCTCAAACCTGAACCCTCAAGACTAGAAATCCTATATAAATTACCCCACAACTCGCGAATCCTACCACGCGGATAGGATGCCGTGCCGAAACCCCAGCCTGCAGGCACGGAGCAGGTGACTTCTTCCTGCACCTGAGGGTAGTTAGGCCGAATTTGCTCTGGGATGAGGGTGTAGGGTTTCGGGGACAAGGATCTGAAAGGTGACCCTAAATCCTATAAACCTTTGAACATCTCTAAATTCTCTAAACCCTGTAAAGCCTGAACCCTCAGAGCGGTTCAGAAGTTCCTGCTTGCAGTGCCACACAACAGCGCTCACTTTCATGGGCTTCGGGGTTTCAATAGGGCTTACTTGACTTACACAATCAGAACCTACTCTTTGTTTTCATTTACGATTTTGCTTGTGCAAAACAGATAAGGTAAAGATCGTCTTGAACCCCGCTCTTCTATGCTGAGCAGCGAAATAGGTCCTGGACCCACGTGTACACCCTAAAACCAACACCCTCAAACCACCAAACCTCAACCCCGCACCCCCCCTGCCCCAAAACCCTGAATCCCAAACATAAGATGCTTCTCCCAAAAACCGTACGGTGTTGACGTCTGAGCCCCTGATAAAGGTCAGACTTGTCACCTCCACACAAAACCCTGAGCCCGAAAAACTGGACGCTAAACGTTGGAAACTGGAAAGCTTTGCAAAGCAGAAATCTGAGCTGACCAGAAGACATGACAACCGCCCGATCTCTATGAGAACCCCTGAAAGACCTGAACTTTCTGAACCTGGGTATAGACCCTACAAAGCCCCAAACCCTGTAACGACAACACCTTCTAGCACCCCATGAGAAACCTTATGCATGACGCCCAGACCTTGTCTTAGGAGCACAAAAACCTATCTATAATATCAAAAGTTTTAGTTTAGTATAACATATCATGGAACTCATGCAGACAATTGGGTGTTATTGGAAGGCAGGCCTCGGCGGCAATGCAGTTGAAGTCCGAAGGGCTCCAGAAGCCGGCGAAGCAGGTCAGCTGCTCCTGTGTTTTGAAAAGGGGTGCCTTTTAAACGGTTCTTTGTAAGGTTCATGTACGGGTGAAGCGATTTCATGGTGACGAGCTTGGGCATCTCCTCTAGAAGTCGTCAACTGTCTTATTCTCCCTACCAGTTTGCTGCTTTCCTGTCCACCTGTGTGCGACCAAAAATGCTCGAAACTTTACCTGCCAGACGTCCTTTCCTGCAGCTATCTTCAACAACAACTTCCTGACCACCCCACATCACTTTGTACATGGCTTGCCACCCTTCGTTTGTTTCGGTGCAAGATCCCACGTGTCGCTAATCATCAGCAAGCAAGCCCCTAGCTGCCCTAGCTACCAGGCAGGACCCAAATAAGGGCAGCTTTCAGAGAAAAAACTGGCCTGCCTACACTCCATGCAGTACACAAGAGCTTCTACTAGTCAGTAAAGCGGTGTAGTCAGAGTCGTGCAGTTTTCTTTCGAAAAGTTCTGATGCACTACAAACCAAAGCCAGAAACCCCATGAAATCCTTCAGAAATTGAAAGGGCTTCATGCGTCGGGATTTAACGGCTCATTCAGGCTCAGTGGCTTAAGGATCGTTGTTCAGCTTTTCGGTTTTTAGGGTTCAGGGTTTCGGGCTTGGAGGGGTAGCCAACTTTGCTGGCTTGCTCAAAGGCTCAAGGTATGTACTATGTATACTTTTCAACCTTAATCATGCCGTAAACCCTAAACCCTGCCTACAACATCTACCGGCCTAGGGGAAGCTCCCGGACCAACTCAGCCACTTGGGCTTATTTAGGGTTTGTGGCCCCGGTTGCGGGGCTCGGACTCCCATGCTTCCACATGTACAAAGGGGTCCTCATAAGGATCCTACCACGGCGTTTCTTCAAAGGCACAAGATGTGTTTACGGATTCAATGCTTCAGGGTGCGCACTTTGTCTCCGCACGTCTCCAATGGTTAGAGTCTGAAACCCTACACTCCCAAACTCTCGAGCCCTTGATGTCCCTCAACCCGAAGCCCTAAGCTTTCGAGCTCCCGCGGAACCTTGGTGGTCCTTTGACGGGCAACAGATAAGGCCCTCTATCCTAATTCTGGAAGGGGGAGGGGTTCAAGCGTTTTAATCGATCAGTCGATTGTTCATTCTGCGACATCCAAAAAAGGAGCCGGTGTTGGCAACCGGACAGCACCCGTAAACTTCCAATCCCCTAAAACCCTTTAAGCCCTTGCTCGATTTCCCTTGGCAGCCGGGCGGCTGGTAGTGGAAGCTTTGGCGAAAGGCAGCGGGTGCGGCAGCGACCAAGTGAAGGCGTTGAGAGCTGACCCTCCTTTTGCAGCGATTTTTTTGCAAGACGAGAGTGGGCGAGTACAGATTAAGAGCGCATCTTGGGTGTCTGGGTCCACATCACAGTTAGTTCTTCAATTATATTGGTAATTTAGCGTCCTGCAAGTACTTACCACAAACTCTTATGCAGACCCACTAAGCCCGAAACGCCGAAATCACCTGTACCTGAAGACGGACGGTATTGCTGGGGGTACCAAGACGAAGCAAACAAAAAACACCGTAGAAAGCCTCTAAGCCTTCAAGCTCGGCACAAAACACAATCCAAACCTCAATCATTCGACCTTATTAAACCTATAAACCCAAGTAAACTGCAACAGACCCTCCAGGAACAAAAACAAATTAACAGTGCCACAGTCGAAACACGTCGAAACCGATAGGTGAGATTCAGAAATCAATAGGCCCCAAGTGAGAGCATGCGTTCTTGGAATGGTCGTAAGCTCCACCACCTTCACCAATCACGGGGACAATCACGCGTTTAGCAACAGGTTGGAGCACGCTTGTCGCGGCTTTCGGATCAAGGCAGCATCAGGGCGCCACTCCGGCTTGAAGTCCATGCCCAGTGCACCAAGTGCAGCTCGTTGCTGCATACGTTGGTGCCCACCCCAAGGCACCAGCCCAGCTCAGAGTCCAAGAGCCCTGGGGCGGTCAAGGAACTTAGCATGTGCCGACATCCGGCTAGCCCTCTTAGAAGCAGTGCATAACGGTTATGGAACCCTAAACGGGTAGGTTTCTGGTGGTTAAGGTTGGGTTCGGAAGGATTTGCAAAACTTTGGGAAGTCATGAAGTCACCTTGATCTGGTGGCCGAGGCACTTGTTGGCCTACGCTTGTTGACGGTCTGTGCGGAAATGAAAATCTAATGGACTTGGCCCCAATCTCGCCAAGCAGTTCCTCCCTTGACCCCTCAGTAGAGAAGTGCCCTTCTTTCATGTATCCAGTGGAGACACCAAAAAAATGCGAGCGTAAGGGTACTGCGGAACCCCTTCACCCTGCCGTAAGACAGCCTGCCTTACAACCTGAACACGCGATCTTCACAAACTCAACCAGACAGATAACCCACCATCCCTGAACAAATTTGGATTAGGAAGTTTACCTCGAAATCCTGTGTCGTACATCTCAAACCCAAAACAACCCCCCGCCCCGCCCCAACCCTAAACCCCGAGCCCTAAACCAAAACCAAATGACATAGGGTTAGGAGGATGATGTCCTCGCATGCGACCAGCGGCGAGTCCATCCTGGGTCATTGTGAAAATGCTTTTGAGAGGCTGACGGTTTGGTATGGTTTGGTGCAAGCGTATGCTTGCTAGTTGCTTGGGCGAAAAAACCCTATGGAACAGTCACGTAAGTCAAAACGATCAGAAGCACAAAACACCAGCCTGACGGCGGCTACCAGAAGAGCCAAGTAAATGGCAACAAGTTCAAAACACGAGGCGAGGACATTGAAGATCCTTTTCAACGTATGTAGACTGCGGTGGCAGCAGGGTTTAGGATTGGCGGTCTCGGAGTTTACCTTGGGCCTACCAAAGCCTCGCTGAAATCTCCTTTCCAATGTAGGGGCCCTACAGAGAGGATCTACTTCCTCGGGTGTAGATGACTTGGTAAATTTCAAAGGCTGTGAACTGTAATTAGTAACTATATTTGGCTCAGGACGTCGGGCTTAGGACGTCGCGAATCACAACTTTGCAAAGGAAGGAGCTTCAGATTGCACGGTACCGAACACAAGCACATCCCCCTCTGAGCTTCTTGCACCTCGAACCCTGAATTCGATAATCTGCGTCCTGCAATACCTTCCAGAAAGTTGACCTTCAAAAACCGGACTCAAGAGCCCTACAGCCCCAACAACCTAAACCCATGCACTCTATTCTATCACCCGCACTCGCTGCCTCCTACAAAACAAAACTCTCTCTCTCTCTCTCTCCCTCCCTCCCTCCTCTCCTTTTCTCTCGATTTCTCTCGTTTGCTATCTCTTCCTGTCTCTTTTGTTTGCTCTCTCTCTCTCTCTCTCTCTCTCTCTCGCTCTCTCTCTATCTCGTTGTATATATATATATATACATGTATATATGTGGCAACCATAACTACTCAATACTTACCAGTACTACTACTAAATCTAATGATAACACAACAATGAATTGTAACAGAACCAAGCTTCGGTGGTGTTGGCAAAGCACAAGGTCGATCCCGGTTCTGCGACACTTCCCCCATTGCCTGGCTCCATAGGGGATTCTTTGGGGGTTTCGGGAAAAAGGCCCCATGAGGGAAGACAACGCCAACCAGAAGACCTTGATGTAACATAACTGTCACTTGCAACTTCCATTAAACACTACAAGACAAGAACACTAGGTAGGGTTTGAGGCTACGGGCTAGTTTGGGGCATAATGCGGTCATCGACGAGTCGTGTTTCTTGGCTTCTTCTTGGACGAGCTAGCCTGGCTTTCTTTTAGGCACGTTTGGAAGGCTTGTGTTTTGGAGTTATCATAACCCTATAGACCTAGAACCCAAAAGAGCCGGCCTTAGTAGGTATTTCATGGATGTCGGGCTCACGGTCTAACAAAGGGGCCTGATTATATTGAAGTTGGTTTACGGTATATCATAGCCTGTATTAGTATATGGAACGACTATACGGGACAACACGATTGCTATTGTTCAATCTAACCCTATTTTGTATGGATTTTGTACAGGGGGCTTAGGGGCCCAAGGTGTCTAGGCTCTCGGGGCTTAGGTTTAGGTTGTCTTGCTTGTTGATTTTTTGTTGAGGGTGTTTGTCATCGTTCAACATGTACAAAGGGTTCGGGGATGTAGGGATCTCCGAATATGCCATAATCTCTGTAAGGGTCCCTCACTGACCTTTACACCCCCCAAACCCCCAACCGACACTACTATCGTGGAGCCAAGAGCCGACTTACCAGTTGCGTCATGGTGTGCTTGAAAGGGACGGTGCATGGCGGTGGTTTGTGAGTTCTTTGAAGGTTCACTGGAGAGGATGGTTGTTGGGAATGCTCTAGAGATCCTACCCCAAAAGGCAACCGACCTTGTAGTTGGCTGGTCAAGGGACGGGTAAGTTGAAAAGCGACCATGTATGAAATGCGGGTTGCACATCGCAGGATCCCCAACAAGAATGCACCTGACGAACCAACGCGAATCGTGGTAGAGCTGACAATGTCATGAGACTTAACACAAGTCAGCAATCAATTCGATTTGTGCGGAGATGGCATAAGTAGCCGACTTGGCGCTATCCTGATTCTGCGCCCCCAGAGGTTCTGGAAAGAATGCAACTCCTGAGCAACACTCGAAACCCTCAAACTAGAACTCCGAGCCGTGGGCAGGCAGGTCGGTATTCACGACTGGGGGAGACCAAGCTCTGAACCACCGCCGTAAAAGCTACAGGGTTGAGGGCTCTGCCTCAACCCCAATCCTAAAAACCTACAAAAGTCCTGTGTCCTTGTTCCATCCTACTCTACAAGCACGTCGAGGGCCATGCCATGGTATTGGCCGGCTTGTTTCCACAGGAAAACCGCTCTGAGGATACCTACAACTTGTGGGAGGTCATTATACTGCCACCTAGAACCGACCATTCTAAGTCCCAGATGCCTCAAACCGAACCCAAACCCGGCAAACTTAAAATCAACAAGCCCGGATAAGGGTTTCAAATCTATACTATTTATGGGGTTCCTTATTGTATTTATAGTAGAATGGGCCCTCGAACCCTATTCTAATTAGTAAGGTCCGTACATTATTAGTGTTGATGATTTAGAAACCTCTGCGACCACACAGGTGCGCCTGGATGAAATGAACACTCTCCAGTGACGTAGTCCACGCCTGTTCATTAATGTAGGCACCTTACTATTTCAACAGGGTTTTGGCCCCCATTATACTAGATTTACAGTAAGGGGCTCCCCGTACAGGTAAACAGTAAGGCCCCTGTAGTATACTTTCATGGCTTTGTAGAGACTTGGTTTTGATGTTTAGAGTTTCGGATTCGTTTCGGATTCAGGGTGGGGTTCCAGCTTCAGGGTGTTTACGCCGAGGAAAACACCAAGTTTCCTTGCTTGCTCTCACATGCAGAAGTAGACTCTTGAAATGCTTGGATATCAGCGTCTCTTTTGGCCAGAGGTCGTCTTCACACAAGGTCCACACTTCCAAAAACCGACTTGCGGAACTTGAGATATCGAAGACAGAACAGTTGTAAAAGGGACATGTGCTTCGGCCAACGGGGCCCACGGCTGGAGAAACAGTAAAACGGTAATACATGCGAAGCAGACTGAAGCCCAACCGAAACAATCGCAAAACCTCACGCCCGATGGTTCGGCATGTTGCGACTATCCAGCCCACGCCCGAAATCCCAGACCCAAAAGCCTGAAACCCAATTCCTTAACCTGGAAGTTCACTTACAAAAACCTGTAGAGCATTTCTGGATTATCTGAAACCGTTATTTACAAATCAGTCGAGTATATATATATATATAATGTATATGTGAATTAAATGTATGTGTGTGTATATACAAACAAATAAATACATTTATCCATATTTCCAGAGATTATACAAGCTCTTTGTTACAGTACCCTTTTCACAATGCTTCGGACCCCTACAGAATACGGCTTGAATCTTTGTAAGCCTCTTTAGTCTGTTATTGCGGCTCTGCATCACATCTTGCGCCTCTCGTGCATCGTCAGTGCCCAAGCGGAGCGCCTGTTGGGTTTTGGGCTCGGGATGTCTGGGCTGTTCTTCAAGGGCCAAAAGTATGAGTCTTATGGGGGTTGCTGCAAGATTTTATTTGTTGATGACGGCTTTGTATGATTTTGTGAGAGTTTACAGTACTGGCTCGGTTTAGGATTGAGGGGCTTAGGGTTTGGGGTTGAAGGCCGCAGAATTTCAGCTCCACCTCCTGGAAAACGCTGAAAATGCAGCTCCCCCGGCAACATGCAAAGGCGGAGTCTCACTGGAACTTGAAGCAACGAAGCTTGCCGTGCGCCAGCTAAAAGTGGCAAGCTTACGCAGACAGATGAGAAGCCTGCTCAACATCGCTGACCCCCAAAGGACGACCCGGTCAAATTGCGGTTACGGTACAAGTACAGTCTTGGAAGCCCTTCCATTGACCCGATAAAACAGAACTATACAACTGTATTTGTAAGCACTTATGAGCCTATGATTCTCTCCGCCCAAAGCACCCTGGCACGTGCTCCAGCTGCAGTCAAAGTTAATAGGTGTAGTACTCGATGCTAAAACCCTACGAAGATCTATGAAACCCGAGAAACAAACGAAACGAAGAACGTGCAAAACTAGAAATACTACTGAAAAAACTGCTTGCGCCAAAAACCAGCCCCAGCAGGCCCCATTCCAGAAACACCAGGGGCCCTGGCTCGGCTGTGGGTGGTCCAGACGCACTTATTTTGCGACACGTTTATGTCCGTCTAGATGCTGGTCCTGATAATAATATGCGGATTCTGAGTACCTTGTAATATTACCTTGTAAAAACTGTATTGTGCCATCATAGCCTCTATATACCACTATAGATTTCTTTACAACAACACCCTGTTCTATGCATGAAGGCCCCTATGTCATGTAAATCTCTAGACCCGTATCTCTGAATCTTGATAGAACCGCTTCCAGCTATCAAGACCCTATTATTACGTTACACGCTAAACCCCTATAAACATCCTTAGAACGCCCCTGCAAACTCCTACAAAACCGCCAGAAATTTTTACCGGAAAAAACCATCAGATCAATCCCTCTAGCACCCTTAAAGAGTCCGATAAATTACCAAAACCTGCGCTTCTTGAGGCCTCGGACCGACCTTGGGCCCACTGAGGGGGCCGGGGCACAGAGAAGGCGACCAAGAAGCGATGCCTGGCGGCACTTAGCGGTTGAGGGTTTCTTTAGGGTTTTACCACATTTGATAGGGGGTTCAGGGGCTGAGGTCTTATGGTTCGGGGCTTTAAGGTTGTACGGTTTGTTTTGGGTTGGGCCTTAACAGGGGATTCCGGGTGCAAGGCCTCGCAGCCTACATCCCAAACCTTACATTCCCAACGCCAAACATGACAGAAGAGATGGGCGAACTACTCTTAGACAAATTACTGTAGCCTCCTCAAGTTTCCAGAGTAAACCCAAATTTCACAAGTCCCGCTAGTGAAGACAGCAGTGCCTGAAAACTGATACCGAAACCATAAACGCTAGTACTTAGACCGCACTTCAGGACCATGCGACTGAGCCAGTCACTTGCATCTGGGATCAAACGCATATTTTGTCCTGGATCCTGGCAAAAGTCTAGGCTGAATACGGGACGCATATTTTGAATCGGTTCCGGTGGTATGTTACAATAAAAACATAATCAGGAAACCGAGGGGATGCGAATGATAGTCGTCTGGACATCTCTGCTACGCTGCTTTGTGCCTATCAGAACCATATCCCGACCTCAACCGCTAGGCAAGCCCTTAGGTAGGTGCTGAATAATTTGACGAGGAATTTGGGAAACCTTAAACCGCGAACACGAAACCATACAACTTTCATCCCAATGTTTGCTACCCTGGGTTTAGGGCTTAAGCACCCCGGCGAAATACCATAGTGCAGTCCCTTGCATAAATCCTTCCCTTGGTAAGGCTTAATAAGGAATATCGTCGCGATGCTCAAGAATAGTGCGCCGAGTAACTTAATATTGAAGCCCCGGCAAAACCCAAGCCCTTGGGGCCGGGCGAAGGAGAAGCTGACAGTCGCCGACCTCCTGTTGGTATTGAAGGATCCGGGAAAGGCTTCGTTGAGGCTTACAGCATTCGGTTTGGAGTTCGAAATACGAACCTATATATTGCTACCATCCAGCTGGCTGGGACGCTCTTTGGATCTGAAGCCCAACTTCATTAACTACTCACGGCGCAACACGTCGCTTACATATGACGATACACGAAATCCACACAACATTCCTGAATGCAACGATCGTTGCCATCGTTGCTCCTGCTGCGGCTACCCGCACAATTCGAAGACATGCTGGATGCGCAACGCCCCGATGATCCCAACCCCCGGCAGCGTCGCGAGAGGTCATCTCGCGCCGGCGAGGGCGCAAGCGTCCACCGTGCCAAATATGTAACTTTGTTGGTACCTCGGACCTTACCTTGAAATCGCCAGACTGCCAGAGAACCCTTATTGAAGAACCCGTTGTAAGCCCCGTAGACAACTCTTCGGGTTGAGAAAGTAGCCACATAAGACCCCATATAACACAGGACTCATAGACAAGACCATTGTATTGGACCCACGGACACGTCTCTTGCGTTTCGGATGTTATCAGGTGTGGTAAAGGTTGTATGAATCTTTACGAAGGGCCTAGCTTTATACGTGTAGGGTGTGGGGGTTGGGGTTTTTGACGGTGTGGGGTTGCCGGCTCAAACGAAAAAGCCTAAAGTCTGCCAGAGTAGTGCATGGCATCCATAAGCCTGCAAATCTAAAACCTGACACCTTAAACCAAAAATCAAGTAGGCCGCTTTTCCTTGCATGTGTAACAGCCAAGAAGTTTCTCCACGTTTTGGAAGGTTGAGGTCTGAGGAGCCGCCGACCTCACATTTTCCAGGTTCCGGAAGCAGTTCAGCAGTTGGTTTATCATAGCAGGCTTTGAACATGACGCCCTGATGGCATGTATTTGTCATGTTTTGGCATGTTCGAATAAGCTGGCACCCACCATCTTCAAAGGGGTGGACCCTGAGGCTAGGACGCCCACTGGAAGTTCGGCTCTGTCCTTGCGCACAGTCATGCTGCGCAGCACCACTTCCAGCGGGGCAAGCTAGCATTCCTTGGGAACACAGCTCGCCTGGCGCACGCTGCTCATGCTGGTCCAGCAGCACTTCCTCCGCCCGCTGTGCTAATGCACTAGGGACCTGGGTCTGCTCCGTACCATGCATTAAATCTCGAAAAAGTTTGTCAACTTGTCTGGCCCTCAGCGAAAAGATGAACGCCGCCGTGTTGCAGCTCTTCAAGCTGTTCTTGCTCCTGCAACATAATAGTGCCCACCCAACATCAATGGAGAGATGGGATTATATCAGATCTCCTGCCATCGTGAGCGACTCAGTCGCTCCCTCCGAAGATGACCCATCTGTCACTGACATCAGGTCCATGTCCGCCGTCAGCGTGTCGTACTGTGCTCCCGTTTTGTCGTTGTCGCTCCCTTGGCAAAGCAAGCAATGCCTTCAATTCTGGACGTGGATCCCAAAAGAATATGATGGGCACCGATGATAGTGACTAGGGCTCCGTGGGCAGCTTTAATCCGCCGCGCTAAAGTCTAGCACGAAAAACTACATTATTAAGTGAAACGCACTTCCGTGTGTGACAATCTTCCGTCCGCGGGAGACTACATCATGTGTGACAAACGAAGTCGGAGCCCATTTTGGTGCGCTCATCAGGGAAAGGTTCCGTCGATAGAAATCTGTTTTGCGAGCGGGAATAGATGGCCAACATCACAATTGCAAGGTTCGGGCAGAAGCTCAACAGTTTGGCTTGTTCCGTTCTCGTGCTGTTCAAGACATTACCCGCCGGCGGAATTGTGTTTTCCAGGATGCGCAGTTATACGTTATACTCTGTAAGATGCAGCAAGATCGTCGCCTGCAAACGTTGATCAACCAACGTGGTCCCTAACAGCGAAAAAGCCTCATCGGGAAGTGGGACTGTGGAGTCGCTGCCAGCAGGCAACCTGTCAATGCAACATGGTCGGACTCCTTCATTGATGAAGCTGATGAGGTCGCGGCCGCGCAACAACACAAGAACGTAAATCATTGTCCTTTGTGTTGGCTTTTGATCACCCACAGAGATTATGGCTTATGGTCATGCATGCGATGGGGAGCTGAGTTTTCGGAGCGGCCGTCAATCTGCACTGCCGAGTCCACGGCTGCGGCCGAATCCTTGGAATGTCCAAACGTGTACCTACCTTTGGTTAGTTGGGAAGGAAGAAATATGATCGCCGTAAGTAAGGATGGTCGCTCCGTCCTGCCAAGAGCAAAAACTGCGAGGGAAATCTTGCCAGCTGGGCATGTTGATGCGCAGCTCGTTCGCACCCTGTGACACTATCGTCACCACGACTCGTTTCCCTGAGCGGTGTGATACTGGACATGGCAGCTAGCACAGTCACTATTCAACTCAGCTCCAAACGAATGTCTGGGCTCGCTGCTGGTGCTGGTGGCATGGCTCCTCCAACGTGAAGGCGTCCAAAAGACATGTGCCGCAAGAGGCTCAAAGCGGCCTGGCCTTTGTCTCAATCTTATCCTCAGACCCCTCTTCGGTAGGCACCTGGGCATCGGTCTTCGGAGTGTAGTTGAGAAGACGGGACGGAGACTGAGGCACCCGACGCCGCGATGACCACCTCCTCGTCTGCGGTGAAACCGAGGCTTTCCAAAGTGTCATGCCCGATGTCCCCGCTCACGAGAAGATGCATAAGATGCCGGATGCTGAAATCTGCTAGGGTTTCACAGACACTGCGCCAAGCAAAAATGCGATATCGTCCAGTCGACTTTGATTGTGATCGCACCAAACCTGCCACGATGTGGATATCTTATGATCTGGAGCCTGTCAACTGGGAAGGCCGAAACACTGCGATCCGAGCTTTGTCAGTGCTACTCGCCATCACCCGCTCAAGAGCAGCTACAATCACGAAAGGGGTGGGCATGCTCCAGGAAGCATGTGTCCCTGATCCACACCCGGAGACTGGGAATCGAGGCAAAGCCCAAGGCCAGGGATTTGGCAGGAAAGCCATGAAAATGCCGCTCTCTGGACAGGCCTGCATGATGCTAGCCACCGGCCTGGACAAACGCCTGGCAGCGATTGCAAGTTGAACATGATGCGCAACACGTGTGGTAGCAGATCACAGCGCGATGCCGCTTCGGAAATCTTGCCGGCTTGGCACATTGATAAAGCGAAGCTTCTTTAGACAATCAGCACGCTCTGTGACCACCAATACCGAGGCCTTTCTCCTTGGTACTTGACACGGCAGTCAGGACAGCCGCTACATCACTCCGCTCCAGACGAATGCACGGATGTCTGGGCCGGCGGCGGGTTCGACGGCTCCTACAATGTTACAAAGCAAAAAGGTCAAACGGAGAGGTGGCGCGAGAGGATCCAAGCGGCCTGGCCTCCCTTCGCCTCTATGTTCTCCTCCTCGTTGGACTCCTCCTCGACAGGCGCCTGGGCATCGGTCTCAGTGGTCTCCTTTTTTTGCCTCTCTTCACGTGGCACCTTGGCGCCGGCCTCCTCTCCGTTTGCATCTTCGTCTTCGCCACGCACCTGAGGCATGTGTCAGCAGAAACCCACGTCAACTCTTGTGGCAGAGACTAAGGCTAAGGTGCTCACGACAATCCAGTCGTCGTCGCCACGACCAAGGGTGTGAAGCCTGTCCTGCTCGATAGCGACCGAGCAAAAGAAGATAAAAGAGATGCCGTTGGCGGCAATTAGGCTTTATTGTCGGTCGGGAGACGGTAATTAGTGAACATCGAGATCTTGCACCGGAGCCAGCCCTAAACCTCAAACTCTGAGCCAAACTTTGACAACCCCTAAATCGGAACAAGCACTAGCCGTGATCTTCAGGATCCTATGTTGAAGCTTCAGATCTTAGGGGGGACTTACGTGACAACGTCCGAAATGACCCTATAATAACCTATAAGCTCCGGAACGTTAGGAGATCTCAGAAGCTGACGGGCGTGTGACGCAAATGCTCATGTAAAATCGTCTAGACTTAGAATACTACCAAGGTACAACACTAATCTAATGAGCGAGTCACACGCCGGCCCCGCTGACCTGTGCTCCTCTGCCGGGCGGCTGCTGAGAATACTCCGCACGTCGCTTTGGACCTTGGTGCTGAAGATATATTGCTCCCAGCCCAGCAGCCCAGCCCAGTTTAGTCCAAGTCCCGGACTTGCTGAAGCGATGCCTGCATCTCCATCAGGAAGTCGTGGATGTTCTTGATGTCAACACCTCAGCTGCCAACCTCATGGTCCAAACAGAGATCCGGAGATGCCGGCAGTGCAAGGCTTCACATAGTCGGGAGAGCAAAGTGCGAACAATGGCGTGCAGGGCGAGCAAATTGTTGTTGGCATCGCCATCGCCGACGGACGCGCCCATGGCCGAAAGGCAGATGATCAAACAAAGCACGTGTCCCGTCATTGTCTGATTTGTCTGTCCACTCAAATACCTGCGTACTCAAAGAGAAATCGTCAGCAGGCAATTGGCCACATGCTGCGAAGATCTGCAGGGTCGGAACCCAGGTTCATGTACTGGCTGCCATTCATTCTCACCAAGTTCGGGGCAATCTTGGTGCTTTCCCATGCAGGGATCCTGCCAGCACTCGCACAGGCTCCTGACGGTGCTACGACGAGATCTTCCACTCCAAGCCTTGACGCGCGACCGCAACGAGCACTGGTGACGTCACGCAACATCTGCACGAATCACGTTGTGGGAAAGCCAGTCATGATACGCGGCGAACGGGAGCCAAGCAACAACATGCTCGCCGATTGTCGCGTTTAGCCATCTGCAGCCAAAAACGAGTTTAATTGCAGCGACTCAGACGGCTGCACAAACACAGTGGAGGTCACAGCGCAGGCCTGACAAGTTTCGCTCGAGATGAACACCTGAACACGGATGGCAGGCTTTTGGTGCGTCTGAAGCGGACCAGGCCGAGGCCAGGCTGAGGCACTCTAGGAGTACATGGTGCTATGTTTGATCCGGAGAAAACGACTGCTCAAAACCAAAGTGACTGCATGGGACAGCATCCAGTTGAAGGAGCACGAACGCATTCAAGCCACCGACCACGTGCAAACGACTGCACGAGACGCAAGACTGTCACATGGGTCAAAGGACAGGATCGGGGCGCGAGCTCCCTATACAATTTAGGGTTTCCTTCAGACTTAATCAACGCGATCAAACCTTTTCATGAAGTAACAACAAAACCCGGTCATAAGACCCGATTGTAACTGTCAGGCCGTGAGAAACACCTTATAAAACCTTATCAGGAATGCTACAAAAATTCTACATGACCCCTTTCAGAAGTCGCAACGCCCATGTATTCAACCCCAGGTCCTTCCATGGGCAGCGAGGCAGAGACAGCCAGCAGCTGCACGTCGTCCAAAAGCAGTGCCAAGGTCTGCAAGAGAACGGTCTGGGGTTTAGGGTTTAGGATTTGGGGTCTGAGTGAGGTTTCAACTAAGACGATGTAAGGCTTTAGGGTTGGGAGTGAGGCTTCGATGAAGGTACCAGGATCCATCTAGATATTCTGTAACAAAGCCCTGATTATAAGACAAGGTAAGTAGTTGCGCCCAACGAGGTAGATGGGTGCAGAAGTCTGGAGGTGGCAGTCAGGGTGACGGGATCAGGGTGAAGGGATTTAAGTTGATTTAGGAGTGTATAAAGATGTAGGTATAGGGCACATTTCAGTCATGTGGGCTTGGGTTTACAGCCTTACCCCTAGGTCAGGGCACCCCAAACCAAAAACACTGAACCCTAAAGCTGTCTATGGCAATTCGTCCCATTGAGTCTAACACAAGCTTAAACTGTATGATGGTATATTGTAGTTTATTATAGTCCATTATGACCGTATCTTCTGTTATTATTTCTGTCATCTTTATACCAGCTGAAAATCCCAGCACAGTCCTTCAAAAAGAACCAGGGCTAGAGTTTGTGAGGATCTTTTGGAGGCCTCCGGCCTCCTGGCGTCACTAAAAAATTATGGCGGAACACATCGCCAGACACCCAAAAACCTGTGACTTTCACCGTAAGTCATGGCAAGGACCCTTCCATGATAAGGTATACCTATACCGAAACTTAACAAACACACTAGGACCTAGGAGTCAAGTGTATAGAACCCGGCGAAGGTTGAGCTCCTAAACCTGACCGAAGACCCCGGAGACATGGAACCAACCGAAGCCCTGTCGCACATAAAAGCTTCGACCCTAAACTCCGAAATCCCTGAGCCCCATGAACTCCTAAAGCTCCGAAGCCCTGTATGAACGCCAAACCAAGCCGGGGTTTACTCCTTCAAACTCTCATAACAAAGGTATAATATGCCTGCTTATGTTCACCAGGCTGCCTCTGCCAACGCAATGCGCAAAGGGCGCCGCAAGGCCTCGTGGAACGGATAACCAAGGGTTTCTGTACGGGAACCTACAAAGGTTTAGGGGTTCAGGATTGACTGCAGGGCCCCACCTGTCTAATTAATTAACGCGACCCGACTGGATACGGGTCTTGCTTTGTGATCAGATAAGAACTCTTCAGGGTTTGTAATTGCCCAAAGTCGCTCTTTAGGTACCCAATACCTAATTCATAATCAGGTACCTGTCAAGGGCCGCAGGATTAGGGGCAATCTGTGATTGTGGTGGCCTTCAGGGTTCATGGTTGGCGCTCTAGGGTTGAGGATCTGCAGGCTGTAGAGTTTCAGCACGACGGTTTCGGACTTTGGTGTATGGTGGTTTAGACAGAACTTGGAGCGTGAGGATTGCGGTTGCTGGGAGACGATGATGTTGTATGATGATGAGTCGGAGGATGTAGAGTTGGTGATAGTATTAGTGATGCTATGGTTCCCCTTACAGTAGCAGCCATTGTGCAATCAATGATCTTGCGTTCGGGCTGCTGCCGGTTTCCTGTCCTTCAATGCAGACGTGTGTTGTCTTTGCAGCTGGCAGATCAATGGCCACTTCACCTCGACTGTTTCGATGGCACTCTGACTTATCGCAGCATTTCCTGTAGTGGCAAACGGTGCTGCTTTCTGTCTTTGGGCTGTTCGGAATCGATCATTGCAAGATCGCAGCAAAACCCGAGCCCCTTCATGTGCAAGGGTTTTTCCACGGGCTGGGGGTGCAATTAGCTTTCCAAGGTAGCAGCGTGCCGGGCTCTTTGGCTCACGGTCGATGATGTCAGCTACGCAAAACCGCTTGAGCTAGGTACTCATGGAAGGGGTGAGCGCAAAACTGGCCAGAACTCGCCTCAACTGAATTCAGATGCGAAGCCGTGGAGTGAAAATGGCAGGTAGGAGTGCGGTAAACGATATACGGCAAAAACCGAAACCAGGTTGACCCAACATAAACAAACAGTCAAGTGGCAGAAGCCCGGTAGCCCGAAGCTTGTAACACAAGCCAAAAACCTAGATCCTTAAGCCGGGAGCCCCTCAAACTGTAAACTCTGAATATCCCTTGCAAGCGTGCCTTTCAAAAGAACAAAAGAATAATGTATTTCAACAGCATATGTGGTCGTATAGTATGCTAATGGACTACACTAGGAAAGAACAGAAACATGGACATCCAGAGTCAAGTTTGGACACCGAAGTTTGTTGCTGGCCGTGCCTCTGAGCCGGCCAGAAGCGACACCTGTAACTTTTGATTTTGGGTTTCGCCTTGGGGCTCGAGGTTAAGGTCGGTCGCCTCATATTGTAATACTACGAACCATAAGACTGCAATCTAAATAGATTGGGTTGATGAAACTGCCGAAGAAAGACGGCAACGTTGAGAGTTCTCAAGGGTTCCGGGATCAACAATTCAGGCTTTGGAGTTTTCTCTCCCGGTGCGCCGGGTGCCCTCCGGACTTTAGGGCTTTATGGCTCTGGTGCTCGCCTGCTCGCGTGTTCGGGCAAATTTAGGGTTTCCGCAGCCTCCGGCGTGTGGTTATCTGTGGCAGTTAGGCTGAGGGTTTAACTAGATGCGGGTTAGGATCCACGGGTCTGGTGTCCAGGTTCATAAGGTTCAGGGTTACGCGGTCGAAGATTTCGCGGCGGTGCCACCTAAACCCTCTGAGCCCTAAATCTCAACACCAAATCGAAGCATAAACCCATTTTTATACAAGAACCCAGACCCCACACTTGGAAACAGCATCTTCACCTCGTTCAGCTGCAGCCCGGCCGTGGCTGCCTGGCCATGGGGTCTGCTATGCAAAACTTTGCTGAGTTTCCGCCCCTCCCCTTCAAAAGGACGCTTTAATGGATCCCATACCCATCACCTGAAGCCCTAAACCCCTAAAACCCTCCAACCCTGGGGCCTCAAGCTGTAAAAGCAAAAATGGTTTCCCTAAGCGCTATGAACCCTAAACCCCAATTAGCCTAAACCCTCAAGCCCCAAAGCGAGCATGGTTTCTGGGTTAATCTTCTCAGTGCAGCTTCTGCGGTTTGGCTTTACAAGTTCAATGGTTTGGGGGCTTTAAGCGGTTTAGGGTTTGGGTTTATGGGGGCTTAGGGTCTGGGTTGCCAAGTTTCAGGCTTATGGGCCCAGGATTGCACATTCGGTTCAGTCCTAACCTTAACCCCTAAACCCCCAAACCCCAAACCTACAGTGTCTGTTATAGGTTAAGCTAGGGCTTAGTCTCCGGCCAGACTTCCAAGACCAGCTGCATCAAGGACATTCAGAGTAAAAGCTGCTGAAGTGCTTCGTTGGCCATTCAGCGAAAGCAAACTCTTCGCATAAGGCTTGTAGCATTTGTAAAGCTGAGGTATCGCGCAACTTAGGTGTACATCTCAAACTGTTTGAAAGCTGCAGAGCCCGTGCGCGTGCCTCGAAGGCAAACGTGCCATTCAGTGGCACCTGGGGACAGGCTGCACTGTAGCACGCAGCTACCCAAACCCTGGAACCCCGAACAAGAATAATTAGAAAGACCCAACACCCTGAAGCTGAAACCTAAATCCCTAAATCCCAGAACGAAATCGTAAAGAGTCCTAGAGCCCACTCACCCAAGCCCCAAACTATAAAGGCTAAAGTTTCAGGATCCAGGGCCTGGGGCTGAGTAAGCAAGGTTAGGTAGCAGAAGACCACCTCGATCATGGTTTTAGGGTTTCCGAGAGGAAGCTCATAATGAGAGTGTTGGGCACAAGGCTTAAGATGCCTCCTTGCGGTGGTCAATCACAGTTTGCAGGAAGCGAATGTCATGGCCGTGGGCTGCAGGGCTCGTCAGACACTTCGGCATGGCAGTTCATATAGTTCCGGGATGAAAATTCACAAACAGGTTAAGCACCAGAACTGCTTGAATTTAATTGGCCCCAACCCCAAACCCCTGGACCCCAGGCGTATTTCCCTGCAAAACCCAAGAGAGTCTCAGAGTAACACCTCAGAGCCACAGCAATCTTACTAGCTAACCGCAAAAGCAATAAAATTCAAACTTACCAAACAGATTAGCTTTACGAACCCAAAAGATTTTCAAGTTGGTGAGTGGCTCCGGCAGAGATACCTTACGCCTTTGCCACTGCAGCAATCTCGAAACCATAACCCGAGAAAAGGATCACAGCTCAGAGCTTGTGCTTGAGGGCTTCGGGCTTCAGGATTTCTGCAAGGTTTACGGCTTCTAGGGGTCACGGACGCTGAATCAAATCGACATTCTCAAGTCAACCCCCCGGCTTGGGATGCGCGGGATCGCATAGCAATGCCACCTTACACCTTTCACATCCGTAAAACATACGGATAGTGAAAGGCTTACGCCTTACATCCCAAACGCCGAACCCTACAGCTCTAGTCTGCATTCATCACAACCAGGTCCCGTTTAGGGCTTCTGTGTGACAAACCGCTCATAAAGCGGCCTTGATTGTTAAGATAGGTCTCGGGGGTTTCTTTGAGTATACCTGCGGCCAGGAACCCGAAGGATTGATAGTACTATGTATTGCTTATTCAGGTTTTTATGTTGGACCAAACTTCCACGTCCACCTCGCCCCGTGGCGCAGTCGCGGGGTCGTACCTCCGGGCTGTTGTACTTGTTTGGAGTTCCAGAATATAGATTGACTTGAGTAAGGACCCAAAACGAGGGATCTGTGATGGCAAAACCGAAGTGAGTTTCTGTCAGTATGACGCTTGGCAAAGACCCGACGAGAAGGACCATCGCATGATCCAGACGGCAATATGCCCCTATTGCCCCCTGAGCAAGCACCAAGCCCCCAAACCCCAAAGCCGAAACCCAACCGCCATAAACCCTCAAGACCTGATCCCCAAGCCCCAACACCTAAACAGCAAACCTCCAAACCCCCAAATCCTACAGGGGCTGTATTAAAAGCCCTACAACACCCTTACGAAACCCCGTGAAACCTGCTAAGACAACGCTATGACATGACAACAGAACTGCGAAGAAACCTTACAAGACTCAGCCGAAGCAGATAAACGCCTGTATACAGCCACATGAACCTATGGATCCCGCAGCGCATTGC